CCTGTTCCATCCATCACCAAGGTCGTTTACCGGCAACTCTCCGGTCGTGTTCCCGCGTTTTTACCGTATCGATCGACACAGTGAGTCTATCGCCTGAAAGTTTGATGTCTCTATAGACTATTCTGCCGTCCTCAAAGATGGTGGCCCTTGAGTTTATGTATTACGTACACGTATGTGTGGGCTTTCGACACAAGGAAGTCCAATGCTCTGGACTTTAACTCTCCTATAGCTATATTATCCCCAACTTACACAATTTGTTTCAGGCAAGAGAGAGACTCAATCCCCTAAAAGTGTGCTTTTGGAGCAGACCCAATGTTTTCACATTTTTTACAAAAACAAACAAAAAACATCTGTAAGCAAACAGTCATTGTCATTTTCTTGTTAAGCCATAACGCTAACCTTACCATCGACTGCATAGCATAATACGAGTACTTTCGATCCCGATGGATAACATGTAGATTTGAACTGGAATACGTTGATGAAGGTTAGACTTTTTAACTGGAATCCTTAATTCTGATAACAGTCACACCGCAACAAAACTGTTTCCTGATTGAAATACAAAGAACACAGTTGCTCAGCGAGATGAATTCACAGAAACGCCACGTCCAAGGTTAGGTTGTACGGATCTGATCTGTATTCCGTCCGGCCCTCCGTCGCGGCTGGAGGCTTTAGTTTTGAGACAGGGATAAGGAGTCCAGTCTGAGCGCGGTTCGCACACCATTACTCCCAACCCTGCCTTAATTACGTTTTTATCATTCCATTAAGTCCATAATAATGTAATTACCGGTGTTCCAATATCGCACAAGCATCTGGAACTGTTGAAGTGACACGTTACACCACGTCTTTGCATGTACCCTTCTATTGAGTTACCCCGCTCAGTAACAGCAAATAAACTTGGGGTTTTATCTTGAAAGTTCATCTGTGTTGGTAGAAGTCATTATGAAACATGTTTTAACTGCAATTTCCAACACAAGAAATTGGACTCACCCAAATTTTCGACTGTACAAAGCCAGTCTTTGTCATGAACAAGGAATGAGCAATCCACCGCTTCCGTGACGTCACGCAGATAACACACGTGACTCCGTGTGGAGGAGTGGATCGTAGGTTGCAGAAAGTCTGTGGCGCCCCCCGTCTCTGTTGGGGGAT